TATATATATATATATATATATATATATTCTCTACTATATACACATTGCGGTGTATTTACACCCTGAGCTGTATGCACAGCTTTGAGTGTATGCACAAGCTGCGCTGTATGTACACCCTGCCGTGTATATACACCTTGCGGTGTATGCACAGATTCAGGTGTATGTACACCTTGGGGTGTATATACAGATTGAGGTGTATATACACCTTGCTGTGTATGTACACCTTGATGTATTTATACAGATTGGGGTGTATGTATATACAGATTGCGGTGTATGCACAGATTGAGGTGTATATACAGGTTGGGGTGTATATACAGGTTGGGGTGTATATGCAGGTTGAGGTGTATATATAAATTGCGGTGTTAATATAGGCTGGGGTGTATATGCAGGTTGAGGTGTATGTACACCTTGCGGTGTATATAAAATATATATTTTTTTTGTGTGTTTGTGTATTGAGGTGTATGTACACCTTGCGGTGTATATAAAATAAATTTGTTTTGTATGTTTGTGTATTTATATGGATTTGTTTTTTTTTTTTTTTATTTTAATTAAAGTTTCTCTGGTTGCGGTGCATGCACGAGTAGACGGGCCGTATATATAGGTGGAAGCGTGCGAAATTCCTTCATAAAATAAGAGATAAATGGATAAAAATACAACAAAAAAACAAAAATATTAAATAAAAAAACGAAAAAAACAAAAAAAAACAAACAAAACAACCCCCCAGGCTCTGTGCTACTGCAGCCCCTCTGCGGTGTATGTACAGCTGCTGCGGGCGTAGGAGGAGTTATGGGGTGTATTGTGTTTATAATAAATGTTTTTTCGTGAAAAAAAACAAATAAATATATTTTTAATTAAATAAAAAATATAAATTCAAAGAAATAAACATAAAAAGAGGGAAAACACAAACACATGCAGGCCGCAGCAACCGCCCGTTTCTTCTTCTGTACAGCTTGGGGTGTATAGGTAGCTCCTGCATGTGTTAATCAAAAAAACCAACAGAAGACAGTTATTTATATTTATTTAATTTATATTTATTTCTTATTCTTTCTCTACAGCATCTGCTGCAGTAGAAGACGGCCGTAGCAGGACAACAGCAGTTGCTGCTGCTGCTGCTCTTGCTGCTGCTGCTGCTGCTGCAGCTGCTGTTGTTGCTGCTGCTCTTCTTCCCCTTCTTCTTCCTGCAGCACACAGCCCCCTCCGATGCCTTTCCTCTTAAGCCCCACAAACTCAACTGCAGCAGCAGCAGCAGCAGCAGCAGCTGCAGCAGCAGCAGGTGTACATACACCTCATCTCAAAACAGACCTGCGTCTGGAGGGGCCCCCGGGGCCCCCGGGGGCCCCCCCCCAGGTAGACCTACCTATATGGGGGCCCCCTGCTGAGGCCAGGCAACGGGGGGGCCCCCCTGCGGGGGGCCCACCAGCTGGGGGCCCCCACGGGGGCCCCCCGCTGGGGGGCCCCCGTGCGGCATCTATGGGGGCCCTCGTAGGGGCCCCCGAGGGAAGGGACAGCAGCAGCAGCAGCAGAAGCAGCAGCAGCAGCAGCAGCAGCGGCAGCAGCAGCAGCAGAAGCTGCCGAGTTGTACTCCCGAATAAACCATTGTTTATTGAGGAAATAGCAGCAGGAGCAGCACCACCTACAACATCACCTGCAGCAGCAGCAGCAGCAGCAGCAGCAGCAGCAGACAAAAGAACAGCTGCAGCAGCAGCAGAAACACCACCTGCAGCAGCAACAACACCACCAGCAGCAACATCATCTTCACCTGCAGCAAGTGATGCAGCAGCATCCCCTGCAGCAGCAGCAACACCAGCAGCAGCAGCAGCAACAGCAGCAGCATCACCAGCAGCAGCAGCAGCAGCAGCAGAAACGCAGAGAGCAGCAACACCGCCTCAGGATGCCTTTGCAAGTGCTGCTGTTTCTGACTGGGATATACATACACCTGACG